AATAATAATAATAATAATAAAATGTAATAATTATAAAACTGAAAAATCAATTACTTAAAAAAAGTAGTTTGCAGTGATTTTTTGGCTATTTATAGCACCGACTCTGGGCGATTTGGGCGATAGGCCCTCATGGAAAGAACATATATCCAGACATATATCTCAGTATATTTCACTTATATTTCGGCCAAAAATGTGGTACATATGCCAAATATGTGCTAGATATAAGTGCTGCATAAATCTTATTCCCATAAGGGAGGGAGGGGGATCACTGGCGACAAGACCTCTGAAATATCTGGCATTTTGCGGGGGGAGGTATGGGAATTAATTCTGGGAGGGAGGTAGGGAGGGAAAAAGCAACAGTTATTCCCAACTCCACGTAAAAATCCCTTTTCAATCGCCAATCGCCACTTAAAATCCACTCTACCGATTCTCTCTCACCAGGTCGAGTTCACCACCAGAGACTGTCCTACCCCTGTCTCAACACGTGGAACGAGCGCCCCACAACCCTCCACTCCCCCATAAAGCAAAAGCGCTTGGGTCCATCTAAAGTAAAAGTGAGTCAGCGAGATCGTCTGTCAGCCCTGGACTTCGGCTCCAAGTACAAGCCAAAAGAGAGCAAAGTGAGGGACAGATTTTCGATACCAGAGCTGGAGAGTCAGAACGAGCTCAAGTTGATCGCCGGCACGCCGAAGCAGAGGTTCAGTCTCGACAGCCAGTTGAACCCAGACGGAACGCGGGCTAGACGACTGCTGCCCTCCCCAATATCCGAGCACCAGACGAAGGAAGACAAGACCATTGCTCCGAGCGACGGTCTAGAGGGGGTCATAATTGCGTCGGCAACTCCTCTGCTGCCGTCGTCTGAGCGGCAATTCCTGGTGCCGATATTCCACAGCAAACCGGTCACAGCGCCTCCACCGACTCCAGTGGTGTCACGGGAGCGAATGTCAGTTCCCGAAATAAGAAATTCTAGTTTGCGAAGACTTCTGGATCCCCCCAGTCGTCAGAGGCACAGCATCTCAGCGTTTCGCCAGAGTCTCATGAGCATTGAAAAAAGCCCGGAGGGGCTCGAGGTCAGGCCGGAGGCGGTCGTAATCTCCGAGATTTCCGAGGAAAAAGCCGAGGGAAACGAGAGAAACAAGAGCACGAGCCTGGAGGCCCCTCCCATCGAGACTGACGAGTCTGCTGAGGTCAAACCGATGCCTAAACACATCCAGAAACACTACTCCTACACTTACAATACCAAAGAGGAAGCCAGACGGGTGATTGGAAAACTCATGGCTGGAAAGCCGAGGAAAAAGTATCTTGAAAGTAATTTTGATGAGAATGAGCAAGTCATCACGACGGTGATTGAAACTGAGATACCGATGATTCTGAGCAGTCCCAAGTACATGAAGAAGACCCACGTCTACTCCAGCGATCCCCCGAAGTGGATGAAGAAGTGCCTGGAGGGGGAGAAGAAGATGGAGGAAACGTTGAGGATTAATCAGAGGAATAAAGCATCGCCGGGGAAGAAGACATCCCCTGGGGCGACCTCTCCGGGAAAGAAAAAGAGGAGAGACAGCAAAGAGGAGAGAGATGTGAAGGAGAATCCTCAGGTCAAAGACACAACAATTCGAGTCAAATCGTCTAGAAATCTTGGGGAGAATAAGTACGAGGTCGCTGTGAGCTCCAATATCTCAGAAACTGATATCTGCAGGCTTTATGGCATTGAGTGTGACTCGGACAGTGAAGACTCAACATCAGTTTAATTTAATTTTATTAATTTTTCGTTCATTCTTCACAAGTCTAGGCGAGTAGCAAAATTTTTTCTTTGTAAAATAAAGAAATAACATTGTTACTCCGGCATGGCACAAAAATAACATTTTTGCGTGTAATATTACTCATTAAAAGTGATAAAAATTGTATAAAAATACACTTTCCAGATGAAAGAAGTATACAACATCCATATATTATATATTATAATATAAATTGAGAGAATAAACAAATCGGCCAGCGGATTTTTCATCAATCATTAGTACAAATTCTCCGTAAAATGTATTTTTTATCACTAATCACGTAAATCAGGCCCTAGTTTCATATTCCAATTGTAATAACAATTGTATTTAAGTACACCATTTTTTTGTACTCCCAATCATTTATAATATTATCATCTCGATATATATTTTTTTCAATTCACCGAATATTTTGCCTACCGTTGACGCCAGCATCAATTATACTAACAGACGGTGGTAATGCGTGAACAATTTGATCGCCGTCTTTGAGGAATGATGGGACGGATACGTCTGCTCGCACTTCGACCCTCAATACTCGACTTTTGTTTCCAACCATGCATTTGAATCGCGTCTCGACAGTCACGTGAAGATCACTTCCCCTCAGTCTGAATGAAAAGACAAGATGTCAAGTTGATGACCAAAAAATTGTAAAAATGTCTGATTAATTTTACGTACTGATAGTATCTCGTACACAAGACCCCGACGACCTCCCCCACTCTGTTGTCCTTGGCAGTGATGGAGAAAATAAAATCATTCCCTCTGTTTGAGTGAATTGTCACCAGCTGATCAGTACCTGGCGACACACTGATCCCAGTGATTTCTGTGATGGGAATGCCTTTTTTCATAGTCTTAAATTTCGAGCTCTCCAATTTGTAAATTGCGTGCTCAGTAATAACGAGAACACGATCCGCTTGTTTGTCGAATCTAGGGGTAAATAGGAGTGTTGATTGAATGTATGTATGTATATTAATGTAATTGATCGATATTTACTTGTTTGTTTTCCTGACAAAGGCACTGAATAAAACTGTTTTAAAGTGATCCGAATTTTTCAAATTATTGATGGACGAGTTGAATGCATCGTAGTGGAGATTTTCGTCTGGCCTGGAGAGATAATTACCCTCCCAGCGCCTCTCCTGACCCCAGTATTGCCTTTTGGGTCTGAGAACAGCACCTGCAGTCATCTGAATTCACCAAAATCATTATTTTTCGCAGCTTGAATTTTTAATTACAAGAATTATTCAATCGGTCAACGGTTTAGGCCGGTAGCTCAGTTGGAAGAGTACCCGGCGCGTAACTGAGAGGTCCCGGGTTCGATTCCCGGCTGGGGCTGTGGCAATTTTTTTCTCTCTAAATTCGAATTCTATTTGAATATTTTTTTTGCAATCGCAAGAATTATTCTCAAAAATGGCCGACTTTTTGCAATCATTCTCTGGTAATTAGAGTATATGACTATTCCAACGAATTTTTCGAGGAATCTGAATTAATTCGTCATTTATTACCAAAAGAAATTGAAATCAACAAGAAAATTGAGTCGGATTCAATTAAATAAATAACTTGAAGGGGTTGACTGGGTCAAATTTTGACGTTTTGCTGGTGAAGCTTAATACTCTAAAAAAAGTGCTTCACTGCACGTTGAATTCAGCATCAAAGTGGTAAAACCCCACAAGTCAATTTCGACTATTGACCAGTTTTCAATGAATATCTCGGAATCTAAGGGAGATAGCTAAATTTTTATTACAACCTTTTTTGTAGAGCCCGTTGAGAGCTACAACAAAAGTCATTACGAAAAATTCGCTATCTCCCTTAGATTCAGAAATATTCCTCAAAAACTCAACTGAGAAATGAGTCGACTTAGACTGTTTTACCATTTCGCTAAAGAATTCATTTAAAGAATAATATAATTATATTATTATATAATAACAATATAATAATTATTATAATTATCATATTAATTACAATTATTATCATATTAATATCATATTAATTATTATCATATTAATTATTATCATATTAATTATAATTATTATATTAATTATTGCTATTATTATATTAGCTCTTACCATACCCATCACCACTATTTACAACGGTACACTAAAATAAAATAGATGTGCTTTGCTGAACTTCCCCAAAGAAGAGCACGAAAGCACCACTAATTTACCTTCAGCCTCAACTGCGGCCACTCCTCCCTGGGAATTTTTCGGAGAATCATCCAAGCATACCACCTAGCAAACATCATCCTCAAGTAAGGCACAACATGCCTGACATAATAATTCTCCTGAGGCCACAGCAAGTTCTTGCCATACTTGTGCATATTTTTCGCATCCCTGAACGTCCTCTCCAATTCACAAACATAACGACGCCTTTTCATCCGCCTGTAGTGCTCCACCATGACCAATGCCGCCCTCATTTTCTTGTACTTTATCCTGCAGAGATACCCCCGCCACTGCTTTTGCAAAAGCACAACGATCCCTGGAATCAAATCGCCCCTGGCTTTCTCCAGTGCGAAGAGCGTCCTGGGGGATCGAACGAAGACCTTCGTGTGTCCGTACTTGACATCATGAGCGAAGCCCTTCTCCTCGAGAAGTGTCTTCACCCCGTCCATGTCGCTCCCACCCCGAAAATTGGGCCACGTGTACTGGGAGATCATCTTGTAACGTTTCAAAAATTTATCGTATCTCTGTCTGTAGACGAAGCCAGCCCTCCTCACGAGAATGTTCTCCAGGAGTCCGAGGTACCGCACCTGATGCTCGACCCTCTCATCGTCGAAGAGCACTGGGGACTTGACCTCGTTGGGCTTGATACACCTGACGTAAAAAGGCTCCTTGCTGGTTAAATTTCTCACCAGAGCAACCATTGAATTACGGAATAGTGTACCAGCGGTTAACGGCCTTTTCGTTGTTTTCGTGATGGCATCTGAGCCCTCCGGCCACATTTCACTTATTATTTTACTGTTACTGTTGTACATGAGACGTTTGAAATCTTGAAAGAGTGTGTCTTTATTTTTATCCAGAAAACCGACGATATTGTACACCACGTCACCAGCATAGTGTTTTATTCTGAACTGCTTTCTGTGCTCCAGTTGCTTGTCCATTGGGCTGAGTTGACGGGAGGTGTAGTGCTTGTGATTGGACAGCTTCTTGTCCATGGCTTCCAGCAGCATCTGAAGTGAATACAACAGTAGTTTTTTTTTTTTAATAGTAGGGAACCTGCATAGACTCCACTTTTCGAATATTTTTAAATGAATAGTCTTTGTAGTCTATGAAGCATTCCAGAGTAAAAGTTTTCCGAAAGGTGGTCTGGATAGTTTGTAATAACTGATTAAAAATGCATCAATTTTGAACACTTTTTTTGGGGTCATGACGTCAATTCACCGGAATCAAGTTCCCCTTGCGACTACTGGCAGCGCTAGTGAGCTATTCTAGCCTCTCAAAGTGCGAGACCTTCAACCAAAACAAATCGAGGGAGTTATTTTTGAAACAATTATTAAAAGTGGATAAAAAAATATATTGGCGCTGACAAATGAAGTTTGTGCATAAGAACGTGCATAGAGTCCACTTTTCGAATATTTTTAAATGAATAGTCTTTGTAGTCTATGAAGCATTCCAGAGTAAAAGTTTTCCGAAAGGTGGTCTGGATAGTTTGTAATAACTGATTAAAAATGCATCAATTTTGAACACTTTTTTTGGGGCATGACGTCAAATCACCGGAATCAAGTTCCCCTTGCGACTACTGGCAGCGCTAGTGAGCTATTCTAGCCTCTCAAAGTGCGAGACCTTCAACCAAAACAAATCGAGGGAGTTATTTTTGAAACAATTATTAAAAGTGGATAAAAAAATATATTGGCACTGACAAATGAAGTTTGTGCTGAAAAATGATTTTCAAAAGGCGTTTCGGGGAATTTACCAACGGTAGACGTGACATGTTGATAGATTTTATGGGTTTAAATCTGTGTCAAAGTGTCGAAAGTCGTGGTTGTATAATTTTCACTGTTGTATTTTTACATCCTGGTACAAAACAATATTTATAAGGAACTTTCATCACTCGATCCGGTTTTTCTGACATTTACGAGCCAAATACAGAGTATTTTCCTAGATTTCAGCGGCTGTACTGAACCGCTTGACGGCGCCACACGAAAATTTCGGCCTCCGGTGAATTGACGTCACCGGCCTTTTTAGAACGTTTAAAAAATGCAATTTTTAAAAGCAAATGAATAATTATTAAACTACTTTCCGTGTGTTTCCTTATCGAATATGAGTTCTTGGTGGCATATATTTGAAGAAAAAAATTGCAGTAATGGTAATTTACCTCATCCGTGACCTTGCCAACGTTCAAACAAGCCTCGTCCATTATCGCCAGAATGCCCTTGTGGTTCTGCTCAACAAGCTCACAAATAATTTGATTATTGAAGTACTCGATCGCCTGCCAGGCAATCCCCTCCCTCTGATACTCCTCCTGCTCCCGTTTGAGTACTAATTCGATGAATAACTGCTGCAGTTTCTCATTGCAATAATTGATGCAAAACTGCTCGAAACTATTTGCCTCGAATATCTCAAAGCCATAAATGTCGAGTACACCAATTACGGTGCCTCTGTAACGCTTGGAGAATGTGTCCTCGTCGTGGACATTTATACAGGCGTTTATTCGTGATACTATCCAGGAAAACAGTCTGTCATAGATTGCCTGAATAAAGGGACAGATGTTTAACATTCTACTCTTGAAAAACGACGAAATTCATTGGAAAACTCAGAAAATGTTGGAAAAAATAACAACTCTTGGCAGATCCACGTCAAATCGACCACTCGAACAAATGGATGTCAGGGATTTGGTCGCCGATTTTTTTCCAATATCAGTGACTTGAAAAAAAATGTTCCTAAATTTTCAGCCCTTAATATTGATTCATATCAAAGTTATGATTTTTTCAATTTTCAACGTTTTTTCGATATTTTTGACCCGAATTTGAAAAACGGTTCTGTGTGCTCTAATTTTGAGAATGATCGAAAAAATGCTCGGCTTTCTCCAAATATATGATCATATAATATAATGTAATATAACATGCTAAACTAAACAGAAAAAAGAATTAAATTTCGGTATTCTAAATTGCAGATTTTCAACAATTTTTTTAAAAGCAAACGATTCACAATCGTGCCTCAATTCATGGTGATTTTGTTTTGGTTTTTTATTTGTGATACTATCCAGGAAAACAGTCTGTCATAGATTGCCTGAATAAAGGGACAGATGTTTAACATTCTACTCTTGAAAAACGACGAAATTCATTGGAAAACTCAGAAGATGTTGGAAAAAATAACAACTCTTAGCAGATCCACGTCAAATCGACCACTCGAACAAATGGATGTCAGGGATATGGTCGCCGATTTTTTTCCAATATCAGTGACTTGCAAAAAAAATGTTCCTAAATTTTCAGCCCTTAATATTGATTCATATCAAAGTTATGATTTTTTCAATTTTCAACGTTTTTTCGATATTTTTGACCCGAATTTGAAAAACGGTTCTGTGTGCTCTAATTTTGAGAATGATCGAAAAAATGCTCGGCTTTCTCCAAATATATGATCATATAATATAATGTAATATAACATGCTAAACTAAACAGAAAAAAGAATTAAATTTCGGTATTCTAAATTGCAGATTTTCAACAATTTTTTTAAAAGCAAACGATTCACAATCGTGCCTCAATCCATGGTGATTTTGTTTTGGTTTTTTACCTGCAGAGAATAATTTTGATTTTTCATAATAAATAAAATCCCTGTTCGACCGAGGCTTAATATTGCCGCTTCATCACAAATGATTTAGAATTTGAATTGAAAATGATAATGTATGCCTGATACTCATTCCCTTGGTAATTGAAAAAACGAAAAAACCCGTTCGTTCTTCGAGAGATTGGTAAATTTTCAGTCTTCAAAATTTCTCATCTCAAAATCGCAATTGTGTTTTTTCACTCGATTCGTGTGTGAACGTGGATAATCCAAATACCAATGATTCTTATGTAGTGAATATACTTTGGAAGAACCTAATGTACTTCAACATAATCTCTACCACAATCATATTAACTTTTAACATCAGTGGAAATCCATCGAAAACATCAGTATCTCGGTTCTACCAATTCCTGAGGCACGTAAGATAGAGAATACGCCCGCGGCCTAATCTAGTCTACCTAAAATAATCATAAAAAAAATTGTGTGGTAAGAATCATCGCTAAACCTCGCACGTTTACAAGTTCCATCACGACAACAATAGAAATTATTGTCAATGGATTACCACAACTTGTGGAATTGCGAAATCACAGGCGATTCAACGAATAAAAACAACAGCGACTTCGCGATTAAATCAACATGGTTGAGTTTTTCAATGAAATTTATCTTTGAAAATATACTTTTGCCAGGGCATCTCGTCCGTACTCCGCCTCCATGAGGCCATGGCTCTTCTGCATGACTTCCCCCCCGGCAGCGATAACCCGTTCCGACAGAGCCTTCCCCAACTCATTAGGATGAATCCCAAAGAGTTTAGCAGCATCGTTCAGTGCTTTTCTGTTCTCAATCACCAATTTCTCATCCTCAAGGGTGAACCTCACGTTCCCCAGGTGGAGAATCCCCGCGATCACGTTCCAGATGGTTTTAATATCATCCGGCGTGAATCTGAGAGTACTCAATGCAGAATTCACTGCTTTAAATTCACTCCTATCCGTTGTTATGTTCTTTCCATGGCTTATGTAGTAATAGACACTTGGATCTGACACAAGACCACGAGTGTTCAGTTCTGTTTCGCTACAACCGTTCAACAACTGGAAAGAACATTCAGCATAAATTAAGACTCGATGAAATACACTGAGAGAAAAACAAACACGTTGTCAAACAAGTCTTGTTTCGGCCAACAAAATCGCTAGTTGAAAATTGCCAAAAAATAATTTGGTTTAGAATTTGAAAGCCTCAAACATGAATAACTGTTCTGCCTTCGACAGCAACGAAATATTTGGCTCAAGAGGCGGATAATTCACACCAGACGGTGCCTTTTCAGGATGAAAATATCTCATACAGAGGAAAATTTATCAACAAATATTTTATCCCCAAGTTACAAGATTGCTATCATATCATTATTATTGTTTCTGTTGGAATATTTGAACACAGCTCTTCTGTTTTTCTTCAAAAATCACTCGACAAGGTTTATGACGTGTTGGGGAAAGTCCCCAGAAAAGGACTAATTTATGATCCGTTGTGCTCCGAACTCGAGAGCGTTGCAATCCTTACCACATGTAGAAATTCAAAGGAAACTCTGTCCTCTGGAGTCATAAACTTTGTCTTGCTTTTCCCTCAGTAAAGGTTTTTCAAATAGTTAGAATTTAGTCTCTGGACAACGGTCCTCTAGTACAGTCGTGCCTTCCTCGTGCCAATAATAAAGAGTTCAAGTTAAAAGTATTCATTGCGTTACTACATTTATTTATCCACTTTTACCCATATCCCAATAGCTTCATTTAAGGGTTCATTTGTTGTCTGTGATTATTAGACAGCCGAAACGAAAAACTACTATCCCTTGTTTCGCATGAAACAATGATTTTTCGGGAGCTAAATACGTATGGGAGTATCGAATAACGAAGGAGTAGTGAAATTTATAGAAATGAAATTTCTTGCGTCTACAGAGAATGCAATTTTTTTTGAACTACTAAATCTATTCTTGCGACAAAAATTTTTCACTCCGGCGCACTCTCTGCATGTTTGGCACAAAAAAATCCTTTTCTGGTAATTTTCAAAAAACAATTTTCCTGGCACAAGTAAGACTTGTGTGAGAACTCTGTCGCTTTTTCTCTCAGTGCAGAGTGGAAGGGAGTGGGGTAAGCGTGATTTAATCCTCAACAGCTCCTGATCGAATGAAGCGATTTGGATGAGTCAGAGCTCATTTGAAAGCTCAAGAAATATCTCAACATTGGGGATGAAAGTTCTCATGTACCTGATAAAAACAGTGAAAATTTCTCTCTCCCTTCTGCTGATAAACAACTCTCGATTTTTCGAGAAGATAATTCGTCACATGACCGCCAACGGGATCGCCCTTGAAGTCAAAATTAATGTCCATGTATTTACCAAACCGCGAGGAATTGTCATTTCTATTGGTCTTGGCATTTCCAAATGCCTCCAGAATCGAATTCGACTGAATAAGTACATTCTTCACCCTAAAATTCATGTCCCATTAGGTTTCACAGGGCCAGGGGGCAATCATCAACGATTAAAGAACAAGTGAAACCTCTCAATCTCCTGTTGACCAGACAGATTAGTGATGGCAGCGATGTACTTCATAATTATTTTACTGGCCTCGGTTTTACCCGAACCAGACTCGCCACTGATGACAATGCATGTGTCACGTCCTTGTTGCTTCATTTCGCGATGTACAGCATCGGCAATCGCGAATATGTGCGGTGGATTCTCAAACAGTTCCCTCCCTGCAGGTGATTTATGCAAAAACATTGGATTTTAAAAATCAGCTCCATTTTCGGAGAATTACCGCAGGGGTTCTGTTACCTTTGTACTTGTTAATTTGATCTCTTTCATAGTTGGGAGTTGACCTGTAGGGATTCACGCTCACGCATACTTCTCCGATGTACGTGTAAAACTTTCCCCCCGAAAATCTGTTGAAATAATTGGGATAAACACCTCTGTCTTCATTTCGAACGCTAATCACTTTTAGAATTCAGTAGCGAAGCGGTAAACCGGTTTAAGTCGATTTAGACTATTGGTCAGTTTTTAGTGAATATCTCGGAATCTAAGGAACATAGAAATTTTTTGTAATAACCTTTTTTGTAGCTCTCAATTCGCTCTACAAAAAAGGTTATAATGGAAATTTCGCTATTTCTCTTGAATTCGGAGATATTCCTCGAAAACTCAGCGAAGAGCTAAGTCGACTTAACCCGTTTTACCGCTTCGCTACTGAATTTTTAATGGGGGTGAGGTGATTATTTTATGAGGAGTATCGATGCGAATTCATGTCTTTTCGACTAGGCGACATTTCAAATGCTCAGATTTAAATACACGCCAGACGGATGAAATTCTGTAGTGAAGTGGTAAAACGAGGAAAGTTAACTAACTCGTCGTTGTTTTTTTGGAAATATCTCCGAAACTAAGGGAGATAGCATAATTTTTGTAATGACCTTTTTCGTAGCTCTCAATTAGCTCTACAAAAAAGATTCCGACAAAAATGTCGCTATCTCCCTTAATTTCAGAGATATTTTCGAAAAACTCCACGAAAAGGTAAGTTAACTTACCTCGTTTTACCACTTCACTACAGAATTATTATTAATTATTGTCGTTAAGTGAAATGTCATCTAGTTGAAAAGACAGGATTCCCTAAATCTCTCAAAACGTCAACAATTCAAACAAAATATTAAAGAATGGAAAATCCTTTTAAAAAACAACTATTAACACTAAATTATTGATCTCTTGTAATTGTTAATATAAAAACAAATTGAATCTTTGTATGATGTTAATCATTAATGTATTAGTTGTGGCTAAATTGAGTTGCATTACATTGTCTGTTGAAAAGCAAAGAATAAAAAAAATGAAAATTAAAAAAATTTCGGCTAATTCCTAAAAATACAGCTATTTCACAAAAACTAGTTGATATGTTGTAGTTAAAAATTTCAGTTGAAAAGATACTGTCCCTTTGTAATGAGTCAGTCTAAGCTCACTCGTAAAATTTATTTCCCCGTTTTGAATATTTAAACAAAAGTCAAGAGTCTTTCCTTCATCTCTCGTCAATTGCTGCATCGATCGACAATTATTCATTTTAGTTTTATCCCGAATAAAAAAATTTCGAATAATAAATCACGAACTAAGTTTCCAGTAAACGGAAATAAACTTGAAAAAATCATCTTGAGGCCCAACAGCCAATTATTTGTTATTCCAAAGTCGTAAAATCTGCCCTACCTATTCTCTAATTAAAAATCATTCCCCCGATAAAATAAAAATTCCGGTCTGTTATCAGTGACTTATCACGGGCACTTGTGGCTCGTCTACTCGATAAAACTTATCTCCAAAGGTTGTTTGTGCCAGGAAACAAAAAGGCGAAAGAAAATGGCACAAAAATTGATGGCCTAGAAACGTAGAATGAGAATGAGATCGAGACTGAATCAATGACATAAATATGATGTCAGAGGTCGATAGAATATACTAAACTCATTGAAAAAAAATGCATAATATAAAGGATGAGTAAACACGAAGGCCTATGTTCACGAATGACTCATGTCCACACATACGTTCCTCTTCCCACATAAACATGAGTCTTAAGACAGAAATAAAAGCGGAATAGTGATGCAAGTGGATTCAAATTTTGAGAACAAGGGAATATTAATTCTCGGAGTGTTAGCCACGCCTGCCGAGCCTCATTATCCCGTACCGCAAGTGCTATTGGACAAGTACTTCGCCTATCGAGTGATTAATCCGGCATTAGAAAAAATTTGAATCTTTTTCCGGCTGCATGTGCCCCAACTCATGCCCCAAAACAAACACGCAAGTGTTTTCCAACTGCACACTTGAAAGAATATTATTTCAAAAAAAACCCGCATGGACAAGAAGTCTCGCCAACTTTACATTCGTAACAAAGTGAAATAAAAGAGTTGAGAAATTTTTTTGAGCGTTAGATAAGCCAATACAGTTAGTTGAACTGACTTCCACAAAAATAACTGTTGTTGCTCTTTAGTTTTGCGGTAAATAATGACCAATAAAGCCTCGTAAAGCCTTCCAAGCCAATTCCACAAACTCCGAATAATAAAATGCCACTGAAGAATGAATTCTGACCTTGTTTTGAGATTTTTCACGACATTTTCAACGCTGATTTCATCGAGAAGCACGAAATCTCCAATTCCGACTTCTGGATGGGCTGCCATTGTCACTAGTGAAGCCCTTCAACGCCGGTGAATCCCTTATACAATCGAACAGATGAATGTGGAACACTTGTTGACACTCGAGCCACCACCGAGTTGAAAAAATGGTTATCGAGTATGAGGAATTAACGGTTGCATTTGACTTTCAATGCGTGTGCATGTTGCCACCTGGCTGACTCACCACTCACGTCTCAGCGGCACCTAGAGTGTCTACACTCCGGTGGTTCGCTGTGTTTATCGCTGTGTAACAACCGCGCACAACACCACACATTTACACGATTTTATTCACCTACTGGAAGCCATGACCGAGCGGGCCTTCGGGCTTCCTCGGCTTTCCCACGAACGGCTCGTGTTGAAGCTCCCCACAAGGGTCACAAGGCTCTCACTAGCATTCCACGAGCTCACAAGGGTCACGAGCCTCACACACAGCCGTACGCACGCGCAGTAAAAACGACTCTCCGCCATCTTGCGGCTGTCGTCCCAACCACAATCCCTGAATTCGCGCCAATTCCGTTGATTCCGGCGCTTGGACAACGCTTTCTCACGACATTCCACACATTTTAATCGATCAGAAGCTGATAAAAGTCTGAATAAAAAGGGATTCGGGACGATTGAGTCGTCGGGAGGATTTTGAGAGGTTTCAGACACTGAAAGGAGTTAACATGAAACCGGGAGGTGCCACGAAAGTTGCCGTCCCCCAATCTGCACCACTCGAGGTTAGAATTTCGAATGTTGCGGTTAACAACGCCACGAGACGTTTCGATTTTCCGGGATATAATTGGAGTTTTTGTTTCAGGATAAATCCAGGAAGACTCTGCACAATCTTCAGCCAGCAGCCACTGACAAGGAGAATCTGGTGGGTGCAGGGAGAGTCCTGAGGTCTGGTGTGACTACCAAGGTCACACCCAAGGAGTAAGTTACATGTGATACCCTTGAGGCATGCCACAAGTTCTTGACAAAAAAAATTTTTATCGTTTTTTTTTTGTCAAGATTTTGATTTTTTTTCTTGACAAAAAAAATGTTTATCGTTATTTTTTGTCAAGAGTGAATGGAAAGGCATTAATTATTGTAGTTTTTTAGGCATCAGGTGTAGAGGAGTTTTAATGAAATGATGAAGCGGATAATATCATCTTTTTTTCTTGATTTTTAGTTTTATTATTCAATTTTGGGTCTGTTTTGCATATGAGCAACTGTTTTGGAGAAGATTACGATTCATTTAGGAGTACCATTTTCTCCCTAATCCTGGGGAAAATGGTACGGAAAACAAGTTAAATCGTGGCCCCAAAGGAATCGTAATCAAGCTCTGATTTGACACATGCAACAAATTTTTGACAGATTATTTAACATAAAAAAAAATAACAAAAAAAATTATTTACCAGTGAGATGTCAGCAAAACCAAAATCAGACACTGGCAAGAAGATAAAGAAGGTAACCCACAAGGACAAGGCATGTCAAACTGCCAGGGGAGACAAAATAAAGATCGAGGTTGAGGACTTGACATCGGAGGCTGGCCCCAGTGAGAACTACTGGCAGGTGCTCGCCGAGAGACGAAGGATAGCTCTCGACGATGCCCTGGAGGAGAACAAAGATCTCTCCAACCGTCTGGAGAAGCTGGAGGAGGAGAATAAAACCTACAAGGAGATGCTGGACGAGACGAGAGCCCTCGTCGAGGTGCTCCAGGTAATTCCCCCAATTTCCACAAATCAACATTTATTCACATTTTACAAACACTCAAAAACTGTTTCTCTGTTAGGACATGATTGGAGAGGATCGCCCTGACATCAACAACTCCCTGGACGACAGTGTACTCTGATAGACACCTAGTTAGTCAATACTTAAGTACAATATTTTTTATCAATCTCTTAATACTTAAAGATAAGAACAGACTGACGTAAACTTTTTCATAAAAAAAGAAGTGAGAAAATAATAATTATTGTAAGAGAAATACTTTGACTCTTTGATGAGTTTAAAGATAGAGCTAACGACTCAAGCTAAAACAAATATCGAGTATCACCGGTGTTAAATGCATAAAATCAACAAAATTGCAACATTGACTATCACAAGCACAAAGGAAAATCGTTGCCAATTTATTCAGCAATAGTTTGATGGTAAAGTTTTGAAGCAATTGAAAACTTTTCTCAGTGAAAAAATAGAAAACGACTCTTGTTAATTAGCAAACAATCTCTCTAATCTTCGTCTTTGAAACGACGGTATATCGATTGTACGTAAGTGAAGACGCACTTCCAGTCGGGTCGTCGCATCATCACCATGTCATCTACGTCGAGCAATGGTGTTATGTCAGCGATTTCCCTGAAAAATAATTCATAATAGTTGATCGCGATTTATGCATTTAACGATAATTAAGGGGATTTTTGTATTGGTGAGATTTTTGTTGGCGACAGTAATACTTAGATGAATGAATAAAAATTTATGTGGACTCTTACTCAGCTTTGGTGAATGCCAATTCAAAGTTGGCTCTTCTGTTCCTGGGGCTCAGGGCTTTGTAGTCGAAGGCCTCTGGCCGAAAGTGATGGAGAAGAGCACAGAATGCCAATCCGTTGTTCCAACTCGTTGAGAAATTTTCGATTTGGATATTCTGAGAGGATGAATATTAATTTTTTTTAGCAAATTTTATTTTGTTGTGACAAACATTTTAGATTATTTCAAAATATTATTTCATAATAAACAAGACAATAAATTTAGCTCGTTATTATTATTACTATTATTATTTATTATTCATTAATAATAATAATGAGTTAAATTCATTTTTTTGTTTCGTATGGAATAATATTTTAAAATGATAAAATATTCTTTAAGAATAATAAATAATAATAAATAAATAATAATATTAATCATAATATTAATTATGATTAATAATTATTTAGTTCATTATTTCATTATTTGTTATTCTAAATTTTTCACTCACCAAATCTTCAATTCAGTAGCGAAGTGGAATTTTTGAGGAATATTTCCGAATCCAAGGGAGATAGAGAAATCTTCGTCATTATATTTTTTGTAGCTCTCAATCGGCTCGACAAAAAAGTTTACAACAAAAATTTTGCCATCTCCCTTAGATTGCGAGATATTCATTGAAAACTGGTCAATAGTAAAAATTGACTTGAATTGTTCTACCACTTAAATTGCTAAAGAATTTTAATTCAATTAATTACGATTCTCACCTCATATTCTTTAGTTTTTGCTCGACACCAAGCAAGCATTCGTTCCTTTATCTGCACGACATTACTCTGCACCTTAGGGTCAGTAAACTTGAAAGAGAACGCTTTGCTTCCTGGAGTCCCCGGCGTCCTCGGAGAACTAAATCGAAATTTTCTCATCGTATAAATCCTCACTTTCATTTGACCTATCAAAACGGATAATTACCTCGGAGAGCTAGGTAGACTATTTTGGCGATCTAGCTGCCTGAACTTGGCAAACGGAGACATGGGCTTTTTCACTGCTGCAAATACAAACGATTTACAATAGAAAAACGGCAATTTTCATTCTCGTTAAATCGAAAAAAAATTAATCTCATGCATAATCTATCGGGCATTACGTTTCTCACTGGACGTTACATCTAAAGGCAACTGTACTCATCTCCTCTATGGGGTAAGTATTATCAAAATAATTTTATTGTACGAAAGACTTACTGAAGTCCCAATTGACGCAATGAAATGCCCAAAAGCCATTTCTAACTATAAAAATTTTACATCAAATTATTTTATTAAATCTCCAAGTAATTTTTCTCATTTTATACACTCCTTAAATCACAAATAATAAAATATCAAATTATCTCCGCAGACATTACAATTCTCGTCCCCTTCAATTCAAAAAAAAAAAAAATTATACAAAATTACAAATTCATGGTCCTGATCATCGTAAATTTAGTATCGATTGTCCTTGGTGGTCTCTTCGAAGAGGCTGTCGAAGGCCTTGTCAACATCGTAGCTATCATCGAACAGATGTGGCATCGTGTGGCTTCTGGCGAGATTGTGGCTTTTTTTCGGTGAAAAAGACCGTCTCGCCTCGCGTTTAACCCCCGACGACTGCTGATGGCAATCCAAACTGCCGCTGGACCCACGATTGTTATTAAAATACCTCTGCACCTTCTCCTCCATCTTCTTCAGCGCAACATTGGGATTACTCCCCGAGGCATCAAAATTCTTGGAGAGTCTCTGAGACAGGGGTGAGCTGGACTTGGGTGGTTTGTGGGAGTGCGGGGGAGGCACCTGGAGATGCTGAAGAGGTTTGCTGGCCCCGGTGAGAGCGAGCTGATGCCAGGACTCGGACTTGGACAGGACGATGGACCTGTTCGGTCGATTGGAGCAAGAGACTAAGTACTCGTCACTGGAGTCTATGGGGACCATCGAGGGCTTTGGGTTCCCAGGGGGAGCCAGGGGGGGCGCGGGCTTGGTGGGACTGGTGACGTTGATCTTGGGGACTGGGTGGGACTTCTCCTCGAAGATATTGATCTTGTCCTGAGTGTTGTTCATCTCTATGAGCAGTGGCTCTGGCTCCTCCGCCCCCTGAATCCTCTTTATCAGGCTCAGCTGCAGCAGATTGTGCCTCTGAATGTCGTCCTGAAGGACAATAGGTTCCCCCGGTTTCAAGGGGACGGAATTCTGCGGGAGCCTGTGCATGTCGTCTTGCAGGACCAGGGGAACTGCCTCAGGACAACTCGCCACTGTCGCGATCGCCGCTGTGTACCTCGTGACGATCTTGTCAGGAGTGATATCCTGGTTCTCAACGCTCTGTTCGTTGCTCAGAATTGGGGGCAACTGTTGAGGCTTGTAGTCGTCGAATTTCCTCTCGTGAAAATTCACGTCCTTCAGGGTCGGGGGGACGTAAATGGGGTTCTCTGACTCGGAGTAAAACGTCGGTTTGCAGAAACTCTGGACAGGAAATGCCTCGGCTTCGGGGGTGATGGGCTTTGGGGTCGACCTCGCGCTCGTCTGGATGGCCACACTCTGGTACTGGTGCCCCACGTGGTCGTTCCTCTCGTGAACGTCCACCTGGACCTCTTTCTCTCGATGACTCGGGCCATTTGTCCATTTCTCAGAGCCATTTGTCCATTTTTCAGAGCCATTTGTCCATTTCTCAGAGCCATTTATCCATTTCTCAGAGCCATTTGTCCATTTCTCAGAGCCATTTGTCCATTTCTCAGAGCCATTTGTCCGCAAGTCCTGATTCGGATAAAAGCCCTCGATTTTTTGAGATCCTCTAGGTCTGTCGAAGAGCTCCTGCTTGAACTGTCGACTTCGGTTTAGTGGATTCGACTTCTGGTCCTGCACCTGCGACTGGGCCTGGTCGAAGATCTTGACTTTGGCCCTGAGGAGACCCCCAGTGGCGCACGCGGGCAAATAGCTCGACGGCACTGGTCTGTCCCCCCCGGGGGGTGCAGGCGAGCCCTTCTGACTGCTCTCGTCGCTCCTCGAGGACGGGAACCTCTTGAAGGGCGACGTCGCCGCATGACTGAAGACCGACCTGGGCACAGGCTGCGGTGCCCTGTTCTCCGGAATATTTTCCATGTTCACAGCAGCCGAAAACCTCCGGGAAGCCGTCGCGACCCTCTCCCCGTTCTCCTCGAGCCTCGGGAAATTCCGCGACTCGAACTTCGGGGGGTCCTCCTCGTGATGGCTGAGGAACCCCTGGAGTTCCTTCGAGTTCCGTCGAGACCCAAAGGGTCCAGAGAACACTGTAGACGCGGGGGAGGACGAGACCGACGAGGGGTTGGACTGCGGTTTATCGAAAGTCGTCTTGATGTTCGAGAATCGGCTCCTCCAGTTTTTATCGGCGACGGAATTCGTCTGGCGGTAGTTGAAGCTCTTGAAGGGCGCGCTCGACGGGGGGAGGTTCCTCCAGTTGCTCGGGCCGTCGGCGTTCCGGTTGATGAGCGCCAGGAACTTCTTGTCGTTCTCAGTCTTGGGTTGGAAGGACGGAATTGCCGGTGGGGGGTTCATCGACTGGGGCCCGCAGAACCGGTTCCAAGCGATTTTATCGCTGATGTCGATGGGCCTCCGCAGGCCGTTCCCCGACTGCATCCTCTGCTTCTCCGCCTGCATCTTCAGGTAATTGGGGATGTCGATGGTGTTGGCGCGCTTGATCTTGGATTTTTTGGCGGAGTATTTGTTGGACTTGGAGGTTCCGTTGAAGGACGCGTGGTCGTGGGCGCTCGGCTGGAGGTAATTGAATTTATACGACAGTCTGTCGTCGTCGGGGCTGAGGGGGGGTTCCAGGCCCTCCCAGGGGTCGCCGGAACCCGCGGGGGGCGGAGTCGCGGGGGGGAGGTTCCCGCTGGGATCGCTGTCCTTGATCCTGTGCTGGAGGGACTGCTTCTGGTTGATGGCGTCCTTGATGCGCTTGTCGCAGGTCCTCGGGAGGTTGACGTCGGGGGGGTTCCAGCAGTCTGAGACTCTGGAGTCGGGAAGGGGGGCGGGTTCCGCGGGCGGAACTGCCGGTGGGGGGTTCCGGGCTATTTTGACGGCCGCAGGGCCGCGCTCCTGCTCCAGCCAGCGCCTTGCGCTCGCCAGTTCCTCGCTGCTGACCCCGATCGTGTGGCGGTTCCCTCGCTTGCGCGGCCGTCGCGGCGACGGCGGAACCGGCGGGGGTGGGGGCGACGGGCGAGACTCGTTCGTCTCTTCGTCGATCTTCGCGCGCTTCAGGTTCGATACCAGCGTCGAGATCAACTGCAGCAGGTGGAATTTGTCGGAGGGCTCCAGGGTCAGGGAGTACTTTGTCAGGGCGTTAATGTCCACTCGCTTCAGGGTGTCCTCCAGGCGCGCCAGGGCTGTCTTCAAATCGGAGGTGCATAAATCGTGGAAGTAACTGAGGTCCAGCTTGGGCTCGGGGGCGCCCTCGGTTATTGGTGGCAAATCGGAGGTCCGTCGCGACGTCGTTGCGCAGGAGGAATTGGAATTCGTCTCGAGGCTCGAGCGCAAATCTACTAATACGGGCAATAATCTGCACTCACCGGCTTGTCTGCGCGGCTCGGCGCTCGGCGGTGGGGTAACGAGGGCTTTGTCACTCTCCTCATCACGTGGGGCCGTTAATTTATCGGCGATATTTTCGGGCATCGTTTCTGGAAATTAGAGGGGACGGTTGGGGTTACGTGGGTGGTGCGGGGGTAGTTGTGTCGAGAAAGTTCGGAGTTGAAAATTTTCGGGGGGAATCGGGGGCGCAGGGGTCAAACGGCTCAAGTCGACTTAGCTCTTAGCTGAGTTTTCGAAGAATATCTCGAAATCTAAGGGACGTGGGGAAATTTTCGTACATATCTTTTTTGAAGGTCTCAATGTGCTCTGACGAAAAGGTCATCACGAAGATTTTGCTGTCTGCCTTAGATTGCGAGGTATTCGGTGAAAACTCATGAGCAGTCTAAGGGACTTGAACCGTTTCACCACTTTGATACGGAAATGTCTTGCACTGAGAAAATAAAGCTTTCGTCAAGTTGTTTTGTAGTTGGACTGAAGACGGGGGCAATTTCTTGATGACAAGAGGGCAATTTCTCGAAACGAGTAAAACTGAATGAATTCGTTTGATAGTTTTTTAGCCTCAATTCTAGAATATTTCAATGGGAAAACCACTTTAATTGATTTGAGAACTCGTTTTCTTGATATGAGGAAATTGTCCTCGTCTTTCGGACAAGTATAAAATTCCAAAAAACTCCAACTTCCTCAGCCATTAACGGTGGTAGCAAACCCAAATAAAAATAAATACAGGACAGAATCCAAAGAAAAAATATTAAACGATTCTTCCACCAATTGCCAATGTTTCGAGCACACAAAGTATTCTTCATCAGGGCATTCATTTATTCTGCAGATAAACAATATTTTTCCCATGAAACACTACCAAAAGCCAATTCCATTTGACAATCTATTGCAGTATAAAAAAATCATGAAAATTGCATCCCCCACCTAATAATCAACCCATTAGTTATTTAAAGCTTGTGACAAAAATGTTCTTAACCAAAGAATTTTCAAACTTGTGCAAAGCCCAAACATAAAACACAAGTCTAAGCACAAGTATAAAATTTCTTGGCGCAAGATTTTTTTTCTCAGCGTGAGATGCTGTGCGTTTGGTAATTTTCAAGCCCCGAATTTCTCGATACAAGTAAACAAGTACTTCTGAAAAACTTGTTTTTCGAGTGTGGGCTATACCTTCTGGTGATTCGATTTTTGTTTCTCCTTCGGTCCTTGTCTCATCCTTCTCGTCCTTCGATTCAGTTTCCGGTGATTTTACCTCATTTTTATCCTCATTACTCTGTTCACTGACTGGCGAGCCTGCAAGAAGAACAACATTCAGATTTTTCGTCTGGAAAATTAGAGGCATGTTCTTTTGTGTCAATAATTCCGGCATCACGTTGTTACAAATATAGAAGACATGAGGATGTCGCCGATGAAACTGACCTTGAGTTTCCGACATGATGAAGCGAAAAACACGATGAACCGGCTGCAATTATTCCATGAAAAAGAAGAAACACAATTTTACCTCTCAATGACACCGAAAATATCAACAAAGTACATGAGTAACTCCGATGTGCAGATGAAACAAGTGATTCAGCGTTAATATTGCGCAGAAGATAATTTCAAAAATTAGCGAAACACTCGAACAATAGCCCATTGAATGAGGAAAGCGTTAAATGATGCAGATTTACAAATGAGATACGAAACGAGTGGTATTTTTTTAAATCCAACTTTTTCCCCTTTATTTTCAAACTCAAATGGCATGAACAAAAATATATAGAGTATTTGTCGAACGTCGTCGCCTTTTACGGTCCGACGAATAACACAAGTCACGCTCTCGAGGTGGTGGGAAGAAGCGTTTTCTTGACGAGCCAAAACCATCAAACTCAAACCAGTATAAACTTACAATTCTTCTGAAGCCTCAGCGAGCGAAAGAAAAAACTCCATTGCCATTGGGTTAAAAATTCAAGGATAAAATGAATTAAAATCATTCTTTCTCAATGCAAGCAGCCAGACCATGTCGCATTATCGCGTCACAACGAGGAATTTTCATTTTCCCCCAGACAGTAATTACAGTAATTCGGCCAAACTTCCAGCGAAAGTTTTCAAAAAAAATGTATCTCGCGCGTGTGCGTGTGCTTTTATTTTTTTTTGTTAAAATAATTTTATCCGTGTGCGAGCTTTTTTCGGGCTTACCTGTTGGTTTATTGGAGGAAGAGGAGATGTGGGAAGCCAGTGGCAGTTGACGATGTTGAATTTAACGATAGTATTTGGGCTGTGCCGCAGTGTATAAGCGACTGCGCGCGACCTGAGGATGCTAAAACGTTTTTCCTTAGTTCTCTTGTATCACACATATACACGCAAGTCTTTAAAGACTCGTGGCTGGTGTGTGCCCGTATGCCATCACCCGGGACAGAATTAGACACACTCAAAATAGACGTACGAGTTACTTAGTTATTGCAACGTTAAAATCCCCCGATTTTTTCCTCAATTTATTGGAAAAAAAAAATCGCCGCGAAGAGTTCGATCGCGAGCCGATGCTCCTCGGAGGTGCCTTCCGCGAGGAAATGCAGTGGCTCCGAGGAGGCTCTCGCGTCTTGGGGGGGCATCTCCAGCCGCTGGAAAATTCGGGCCATTTGCGCTCCTCCAGACGCAACTGCTCATTGCTCTGTTAAACTTTTCGATTCTCTCGGCAATTAGCGAGGAAATCGACAATCCCGGAAGAACGACGGCTTTCCAATGGAAAAACAACTCCAGATGTTGAGTCTCGTGACCTAAAAAGCCGCAGTCTTTGTTATTGAATCTCCAAGTTTATTTTTGGAGCTGTGGTCCAGAGTAATGGACCGGAAAATCAATTTTCCATTCAATTAGCTTCGCTCCTTTTTCCCCAGTCTGATTGTGCGGACTTCACGGAGAGGAATATTCAATAAAAATTACGTATCTTCATCGTAATTCCAGGGCGAAATGTCGTTGTAGGAAATTTTACGGAATTTTTCCAGAGCGTTCCGTAATTTTTACCTGAATCGCCTGTGAAAAATTACGATATCGTCACTTAAATTTTCTGTGAGTTCCGTCATTTTTACTGAATATTTTTATTGGTTTATTGGAAGCCAGGTGAATGAATAAAAGTCTGTTTTGTGTGAGCAATTGAAATTGGTTTTTATTAAGACGTGTTCTGGCTTCGAGAGCAGTGAATAAAGAATATCGAAGTCACGGAGACCATAGCCTATTTCTTATGGTTTCTTTCTCACTAGACTTTATCAAGTGTTTATAATATTTAATACTAGGGGGCTGCGCCCCCTGCTCACTTCGCTCGCCAACCCCGGGGGGCTTTGCCCCCCCCCCCGCTCGCTTCGCTCGCTCGCCGCTATCTCGTTGAGTTCAAATAAGAATCGGAAGTAGTCCGTCTTTATCACATCGGTAAATAGTGAGCGATAATTACAAAAAATACTTGTTTTGATGACAAAAATTGATGAAAAAAATACGAGAAAAATAAAACGTGACATAATTTTGAAAATTCAAGCTTTTCAACTTTTTTTTTGAATTCGTTATTATGAGCACCTAGGGATTGATAAAAAAAAAACTCAAAATATTGTTATAGCTAGTAGAAAATGGAAAATTTTGATGGGTTATAAATGAAAATCTAATGAATAGAACTGAACTTATTGAAAAATGAAGAAAAAATTATATCTCGGAACTGGATTGTCGAAAAAATCTGAAAAAAATTGAGAGATAGTTTTTAATTAACTCACCTGGTAGTTATTTCATACTTTTCTCGCAAATTCATCATTATTTCAATTTTTCAAAAATTTTGAGGTGCCGCATTTTGCCCACCCTGCCCCGTTTTGCCCAAGTTAAATCGTTCAGTACGATCGAATTGTTTTTCCCCTTTTCAATAATTTCTCTCTGTTGTTCACACGTCTGAAAAAAGTATCATCAATTCCGAGGGGGCTGGGTGGGGATAGCCGACGCGGTTGGATGCCACTGGGCCTGAGAATAATCGCGGAAATGCGTGGAAAACGTAAAAAGAAGTTGAATCGTCAAGAATTGTTGTCGGAGACCCACGGGGAACTTCTCACGTAGTTGTCGAGGCCAGCAGCAAGTCGGGTGGCATCGGCTCGCATCGGCAGAGGCCACTTTCCACTCGCTGTGATACCTGTTAACCCACTTGAATCAGTCTTTGAGCTACTTTGGCCAAAGGATCATCGATTCTCGGTTTTTCCAGTTCTTTCCCCCGAAATCCCTCAGTCTCCCGAGCGATTAAAAAAATTCTCGAGCCCCGATTCGGTGATTATCGCGCGATCCTCCGCGATGACGGCGCCGAGAAGAGAAAAAAAATCACATCCGGATGCGAAGAGAAACAACAGAGTTATCTGACTCGTTTCTTTGTGGCATTGACTCAATCACGTGGTCCCGCGGTGAATTGAATTATCAGAGTGATTGTCTAAAATGTGAATTTAGAAAGTTCAAGTTGGAACTGATTTCGTCCGAGGAAATTCATCGATAATGAAAGGGTGGTTCGATGCCTTTAGAAACGATGGGGGTCCCACGCTGTACAGTTACAGCAATCGGACACCTGTCACTGGAGACATTCATTTAATAACAATTTTCATTGTCTTTTGCACGATATTCGCTGCCTTTCTCATTATATTTCCGGGGATACGCAAAGAGGCAAGTGGAAACCCTCGATAATTGGTGTAGTCGTCGTAAATCGGACTGATTTCTTTCATTTTTTAGAGAGTAGCGACATTTTTTACGGTGACCCTGAGCCTCTTCGTGGGGGCCAGCATCCAAGGTCAGTGAGAAATCCCCACATTCCGAATGAAGCGTTAAATTGAGGAGTAATTAGCGAAATTGTCGCGTTACAGTTGCCCAATACGGCTCGACTTGGCACACGACCTCGTCCCAAATAGTCAGCAGTTACAGTGTCTTCTCCAGGCACAGGACGCACGCAGAAATCGCTGGCTACATCGGCCTGATGCACATTAACATCACTTACAAACGTCAGTATAAATCAGTAGCGAAGTGGGAAAACGGTTCAAGTCGACGTGGCTCTCATCCGAGTTTCCGAGGAATATCCCCTTTTTTTATTTTAGCACGAAACGTAAAAGGGGCCGTTTTACCCCACTCTCCCCTACAGCTCATCAATATAGGATAGAAAAAAATAAAAAAGAAGAATTCAGTAGTGAAATGGTAAACGGAGATGAGTCGACTCATCTCCCAGTTGAGTTTTTGGGGAATATTTCCGAATCTAAGGGAGATAGCGAAATTTTCGTAATTACATTTATTGTAGCACTCAATCGACTCCACAAAAAAGGTTAGAATGAAAATTTTGCTGTCTCCCTTAGATTCCGAGATATTGATCAAAAACTGGTCAATAGTCTAAATTGACTTATTTCCTTTTACCACTTCGCTGCTGAATTATAATAATAGAAAAGAATATATAACCGAAGACAGGAGGCAGTTCATATAGATTCGTGTATAGATGTGTACATTCGTGTCTTAGTTAGCTCTTATATTTTTAAATTGCTTTCGTTCAGAAACTTCGTGATGATGGCTAGAGTATGGAGGGAGGAAATTTTTCCTTTGTAATGCGTTGAGCATATTTTGTCTCGGCTGATCATGTCGGGGGCAGTCCCGACATAGTGGAGGTCTTCATTTGGGTGGCCACATTCGCATTGGGATGATTGAATAAAGTTTTTCCTCTTCAGAGGGGCTGCGAGATGATAATGGTTGGCTCTAGCTCTATTTATCCAAACGATTGAGAAAGGAGGAATATCTCCGAATCTAAGGGAGATAACGAAATTTTTGTAATGACCTTTTTTGTAGAGCGAATTGAGTGCTGTAGAAAAGGTCTTATCAGAAATTTTGGTATCTCCCTTAGATTCCGAGATATTCAGCGAAAACTGGCGGATAGTGAATAGTGAATTGACTTGAACCGTTTTATCACTTCGGTATTGAAATAACGGCTCGTCATAGCGCAATTTTGAGTCTCATTTGGGCCTCATCAGTGTTAGGAAATAGCGAGGCGAGTCAGGATGGAGGTGATATCGAGTTCAACGAGCGGTTCTGGTGGAGGAGCCCCACGGAGATGAGTGATGCCTTCAAGCAGTCTCTGCAGAGGGGAACGCCTTTTCCCATTATCTCGCTGGCTGAGTATTTCAGCCTGCATCAGGAGGGATTCTCGTGGGGGACGAGGTATCGAGAGGCTGGCCACTGGGCCTCCATAATGCTCTGGTAATTAAGAATGTTCATCCAAAATCGCAAGTGCTTAAAAAAATTGATTTTTTTCAACTGAGAGATGGAGAAAAAAATCAGGTTTTGATTATTTTTCTTTTTTTGAAGGTATTCATAGTTACGTTCATTTAAAATTTACTTTTCTCGACGAGAATATTTGTTTCGAAGACGTAATCATCAATTTTTTATCAATAAATATCTGAGGTATTCCAAGGGCATTGAAATGCTAAAAAAATATATATATTATATATGTATTTTTTTTTTAATATTCATGTCCAAAGGAGATAAAAAATGATTTCTGCCCTGTTGCAATTTTTTGTTATGATCGAAGGACCAGTTTCGCTGCTTGGATGATAACGAATCTGCTCCTGGTAGTGGTCCCCAGATACGGCGCCTACGGTATGATATTCACGGGTACTTTAATGCTCCTAACGAGCCTCACCTACTGGTCCCTATTACCCTGCGAGCCACTCGTAGCCCACGTCGACGGATCGATCCTGATTTTTAATTTCGGATGGAACTACTGGCTCCTCCTCGCAGCAGGTGTGGGGTGCGTTCTCGGTGGGACTGTGATAGCTGTAATCGACCTGATATTCCCCCATCAATTCTCAACTATCCTCGAAGTTGATTACGATACGCCGTACGACAGACACGTAATAATTGAAGAGAGTTTCGACACGAGAAATGTTGGAAATAAATTACCCAAGATCGCTGATGACGACCTTGACGGGAGGATCATCGTGAGGTAATTTAATAGCTCGGTTTTGCGGTTTTTTCTTTCTCAAGATCCTGGACAATTGCTGAAGAATGCCGTTTGCCTTTCAGTAAATTATCGAAGATGGAGAGTGATCAGTCGAGCAGTCGGGGGATTGTAAACCGAGGGTACGATCCTCCAGACTATCATCGCAATGCGAATGACGTATCAACGATGAAGAATCATTGGGCCTATCCTTTTCCGCCAGTCTCTCGCAGGGCCAACGACTGATATGTAGATACGTCTATTAAATTAAATAAATTCATTCCATACCAAATATCATTAAAAAATCTATTGAAAAAAAGTTTATTTAAAATATAATCGGAAAAATGTTTCCCTCATTTTTTTTTGTATGAATGCCGTGTGATTTACACGTTGTGGGGGTTGAATATCAAGGGGATTGAATGAATGAATCCATTTTATACCAAATATCGTGAAAAATCTATTCAAAAATTTTTTATTTAAAATATGTTTGGAAATGTTTGTTTCCCCTCATTTTCTTTTTTTTTTTTTTTATGAATGTGATGTGATTCACACGTTGTGGAGGTTTATTACGGGGATTGAGTGACGGGACAGGATTTTAGGGTGGGATTAGGTTTTTTGGCGCCACACACCCAAATGATGTTAAAAGACACCCAAATTTAGTATTTTCTCGGGGCGTCAAAAAGGCACGTACCGTTGAGTGAATAACTCCATTTTATACCAAATATCATAAAAAATCTATTCAAAACAAATTTTATTTAAAATATGTTTGGAAAAATGTTTCCCTCATGTTCTTTTTTTTTATGAATGCGATGTGATTTACATGCTGTGGGGGTTGAATATTAAGGGGATTGAATAAATAAATCCATTTTATACCAAATATCATAAAAAATCTATTTAAAAAATTTTATATACAAATTTTCAATTAAATACCACGTTGATGAGCTTGTCTCATCCAAAATTCTCGAAATGATGGATGAAATATGGCAGCCTGCGACCCTTGTTGACCTGATCACAGGCGGACATAACGCTCTTAGTCAGAGGTCTCGGTCCACAGCTGAAGACACCTATTTTACTAACATAACTGTGTTTCTTCTGTACAAATTTCAAGAATGACGTCATGTCTGGACGACCAAAGTGATTAATAGCTTTGAGCCCCGTGAATATACTCTTTTTCGACAGCCTTTGAAAGTGATTCTCACAGATATACTGGAAGAGAAAATATCAATTAGCGTTTAGGTTTCTATTTAGACCCGAGTGGTGATCAATTCCGGGATTAACTCACGAGCATCGTTGTCCGGAGATCAAACTTGTGGAAGAATTGAGTGATGAATATGTGGATTTCGAGTACATCTGTCACATCCTTTCGTTCTACGTCTCTCAGGACGTCTATGAACCACTCGAAGTGCTTGTGGGAGGGGCAGATCCAGAGGAAATACACCTGAAGGTGACGAAAAAAGTGTTATTACATTTTTTTTCCCTTTCATTCTCAAAGTTAAGAGGCCTCGGGAGGAAAAAAAATACTTGAGGCTTCAAATATGGCGGCGCCTCCACCTCGTGTTTTCGAACATTTTTTAAAATTATCTATCCACTTCAGATTACCCTCAACTCACTTCGTCTGGTTTATATAATAGGAATCATTTTTTTAAGCCATCTTTCAGATTTTTTCTTCGCCTTTTGGCTGAGAATTCTTGGCGCAAAGGTTTTCTCGAATTACAGTATTTCAGGAGCGAAGCGGGCAAACGATTTAAGTCTTCTGTAAAAAGAAGGCGGGATATTTTTTTGGATGAAATAAAAGTTTTTTACTCCTTGATTTTTTTTTTGGACGATTGAGTCAAGCGATATTGATTGATGTTTTGCAAATGTTGTGATTGAAGCAGTTTTATTTTTTCTTGTTTTCGCTATTATTTGAGCCGTTCGACAAATACGTTTTCGTGTTTTTGAATGACTTCCGTGAAGACAAGTGACTTGAAAATTTTTGGATTTGTATTTTTCCCTTCTTAACTGTGTGATCGATAATATTGTTGTGATTGTACGAATAAGTTTTCGGAGATTGTTGGGGGAAGATTCCTGGAATCCTCCACTACTGATTTTTTTTCACTTCCAAGGCCTCTCAAGAGCTCTTCTTCCCTCTCAATACCTTCTTGCAGGCGACCCCTGAATATCTATTCGTAGAAGTCCCAAAAACAAGATCATTGAGCATAGAAGCGTAAGGAGTGACGCCGATTCCTCCTCCGACCATAACAGCAACTTCGAACTTGTACCAGTCCTGATTTCCCCCGCCGAAAGGACCCTCGATCCTGATTTTCGGGTGCTCATGCTCGGGACTGTAATTGCAAGGATCGAAATAATTCCGGAGTTTCCAGGTCCAGGGCCCCTGGGCCTTGATGTGGCAGGAGAGAAAATTCTCGTGCGGCGCTGATGTGAGTGTGAACGAGTGAAACTCATTGGATTTGAACGCCGTGCACGCCAGCCGAATCCACTGGCCCGAGAGATACTTTAAATTCGGTGGGCGGTAGAACTTTATTTTTATCACGTCTGAAGGGAGAAGTTCCGTTTCTATTATGTCCAATGACATGTATTTCGTTCTGAGGCTAACGACCTGAAAAGAAATAAGTTTCAGGATTTGGGGCTTCCCCACCGAATATCGGACACGTGTTCTTTCATTGGCAATGACTCTTCGATTTTCATTATTTTCTGGGAATAGAAAAATTCGCTTTTTATTTCTTCAAGTTTTTTCGCATTTTTAGAGATTATTTTCAGTTTTTCAATGTCCAAATGTCAGAGAAAAAAAAATACACTTTTTACAGTGATAGACTGATTCATTTATTCCAAACGAGATTCGTTAACTATTGAAGAATGATCATTTGGTGAGACCGAATAGACTCCCGTCTCCAACCAAATCCATTCGTCAACAATAACTAATCAGTCAGTGTATGTATTTCAACAATTCAGTAGTGAACTGATCAATAGGTTCAAGTCGACTTAGCTCCTAGTTGAGTTTTTGTTGAATAACTCGAAATTTAAGGATGTTCTACACCCTTTCTGCCAAAATTCACGTTTTTTTAATGTTTCTGGCAAACTTATGATGGAATTGACGTGAAAAAATATAACGATTTTGTGGTTTGTCATTCTTTAATGGCTGACTCTTATACACATCTAGATGTGTATAAGAGTCAGCCATTAAAGAATGACAAACCACAAAATCGTTATATTTTTTCACGTCACTCCCATCGATAATTTGCCAGAAAAATGAAAACAACGTCAATTTTGGCTAAAAGGGTGTCGAACATCCTTAAGAAAGATAGCGAAATTTTTGTAAGATCTATTTCGATAGTCTTCACTTTTCTTTACAAAAAAGATTTTCACGAAAATTTTGCCAACTCCTTTGGAATTTGAGATATTCATCGAAAACTGGCGCTAGAATGGAATTGACTTAAACCGTTTGACCAATTTAGTACTGAATTTCTTTCTGGACAAGTAGAATAGAATACTTTATTTCCTTGATGCTACTGTTCCAGCTTTTCATCTACACAACCCGAGGAAAAATATCTCCAATAACACTCCAACAAATTGTTTTTATATCAATAATGTATAATATCTAATGATAATATCACAGTATCAATTACAATTAAACAATTACAGTTTAAGCGATTGTTCAATTTCTAGTCTCTTAAAATATCTTTTAACCATAGTCTCTCAATACTCTCTCTATCTTAACTAGCCCCACCTCTCGGAGTAATTAATGAAGAAATCAGTAGCGAAGCGGTAAACCGGGTTAAGTCGATTTTTACTATTGGCTAGATTTTGACGAATATCTCGGAATCTAAAAGAGATAGAAAGATTTTTGTCATGACCTTTTTTGTAGAGCCAATAGAGCGTTATAAAAAAAGTCATGAGAAAAATTTTGCTATCTCTCTTAGATTCCGAGATATTCAGCAAAAACTGGCTAATAGTCAAAATCGACTTATCTCGGTTTACCGCTTCACTACTGAAATGAATTCAAAAAATCGTCATTAAAAATCGTTAAAAAATTGTTTTATGCTCACTTTATCGAGGGAGTATATGATGGCAGGTCCAATGAAGAACATCCAGAACCTCGGTTCCCCGGTGAGTCTAGCGAGTCCGTGAATAAGACACAGGGCGTAAAGAGCGATGTAAAGGCTGTGAGTCGACCAGAAGAATTTGTAAGCCTTCTGTCTGATGGTGGGATGCGCAAACACGAAGATAATCGTCATCACAATAACGAGAAGTATTCCGGTGATCCCTGTAGGATCATAAGAACACATGAGACCTCAAAACTCTCGGCGATGCTCATTCAAACTTTCTCGCGGGTAGGGCAAACCACCCGGTAGATGGACGTTTGTTTTTTAGCAATTGAAAAGGGACTCAGAATTACAAAAGTAATTCTTTAATTTTTTTTAGTGAATATTCAAGGGGCAGATAAAGAGGAAATACACCTGAAGGTGAGGAAAAAAGTGTTATGACATTTTTTCCTCTTTCATTCTCAAAATTAAGAGGCCTCGGGAGGAAAAATCGCCATTCAGGGGTTCAGAATTACAAAAGTAATTCTTTAATTTTTTTTAGTGAATATTCAAGGGGCAGATCCAGAGGAAATACACCTGAAGATGAGAAAAAAAGTGTTATCACATTTTTTCCTCTTTCATTGTTAAAATTAAGAGGCCTCAAGAGGAGGTCAATTAAAAAAAAATGTTCGAAAAAAAATCGCGCTTCAGGGATTAAAAATTACAATAGTAATTCTTTAATTTTTTTTAGTGAATATTCAAGGGGCAGATAAAGAGGAAATACACTTGAAGGCGAGAAAAAAAGTGTTATCACATTTTTTTCCTCTTTCATTGTTAAAATTAAGAGGCTTCGGGAGGAGATTAATTTTAAAAAAATGTTCGAAAAAAAATTGCCATTCAGGGATTAAGAATTACAAAAGTAATTCTTTAATTTTTTTTAGTGAATATTCAAGGGGCAGGTCCAGAGGAAATACACCTGAAGACGAAAAAAAAAGTGTTATCACATTTTTTCCTCTTTCATTGTTAAAATTAAGAGGCCTCGAGAGGAGGTCAATTAAAAAAAAATGTTCGAAAAAAAATCGCGCTTCAGGGATTAAAAATTACAAAAGTAATTCTTTAATTTTTTTTAGTGAATATTCAAGGGGCAGGTCCAGAGGAAATACACCTGAAGGCGAGAAAAAAAGTGTTATCACATTTTTTCCTCTTTCATTGTTAAAATTAAGAGGCCTCGGGAGAAGGCCAATTAAAAAAAATGTTCGAAAAAAAATCGCGCTTCAGGGATTAAAAATTACAAAAGTAATTCTTTAATTTTTTTTAGTGAATATTCAAGGGGCAGATAAAGAGGAAATACACCTGAAGGCGAGAAAAAAACTGTTATCACATTTTTTTCCTCTTTCATTCTCAAAATTAAGAGGCCTCGGGAGAAGGCCAATTAAAAAAAATGTTCGAAAAAAAATCGCGCTTCAGAGATTAAGAATTACAAAAGTAATTCTTTAATTTTTTTAGTGAATATTCAAAGCAATAGTTCACATTTCAATATTTTTCGTCATCTCCTATCGAAAAATAGCTCGTCCATCTACACCTACCTGTAACAGTTTGGAACAGCCAGAATGAAATGGTGAGCCTGGCGTCGCTCGGGAAGCTCATCTCGCTCGTGAGGCACCTCAGGTGAGACACCGGTTGGGTGGACACGTGGTAGAAGTTCACCATGTGGCCCAGAGTGTGCAGAATCGAGAAGAAGAGGGCCGTGCAGGCGGCTATCTTGTGAAATTGAATGTGAGAGTCCAGGGGAATGTACTGCTGGATGGAAAACTCTTTGAGTTTAGTCAGCAAATTTCGAGACATCGTGAGTAGTAGCAGACTATAGCAGAAGGAGAGGGCAGCCGCGGAGCCCCGAGTTATGGCTATCCCTACCCCCATTATGTGACGAAGGTCCACGTGCTCCGTCATGAAGGAATAATCTAAAAAAAAATAGAGTATTTTCCCTCCAGAAAATCTCGCCCAGAAAATAATTCTCGAAATAATTGATCGAATTGATATTGATCTTACGAATGAATCGCTCCACGAAGAGGGCAATGGTAATCACGTAAAAGATGAATAAGTAGAATATATTTTGTCTATTCTCCTCCAAGAACGTCGACACCCCGTCCCACTGCTTCCGCGCCCAGCTCTTGGTCGCCTCCGGGGGCAACTGCTCGATATGAAAAGTCGTCATTCTGGCGACATTAGTCGAGGTGTCGAGAAAATTCTGTTTCGCTCCTTTGCAGTCCAATCCGATGGCCACGAAATCCCCCTTGTACTCATTCATCATGAGCTTGAAATCATTGTACGTGAGGTAATCTTTGCGCTCCAATCCTGCGTCCTGCAACACTCGTTAATTCCACAATGAGGAATCCAAATCAGCAGCGAAGCGGTAAACCGGTTTAAGTTGACTTAGCTCTTTGCTGAGTTTTCGAAGAATATCTCCGAATCTAAGAGAAATAGCGAAATCTTCATTACGACCTTTTTTGTAGCTCTCAATTCGCTCTACAAAAAAGGTCAAAAAATTACTATCTCCCTTAGGTTCCGAGATATTTATCAAAAACCGATCAATTGTCTAAATCGACTTGGACCGATTTACCGCTTCGCTCCTGAAATATTCATCCTATTAAGGATGTTTAGCCATTTTCACCAAATTTTAGTTTTTCGTGTTCAAGGAAAATTCTGTTATTTTTTTGGCTGAGAAAAAAATTGATCGCAATGGCCTCGCTAGAAATAAATAAACAAATTTTTCTTTATATGCGGGCGCTTATGGGATTTATGTTCAAATTTATAATTCACATAGGGGACGGTGGGGCAAAATGAAACACGGGGCAAAATGAAACAGCAAGAAAATCTTGTGATCTAAGGGAGATAGGACGATTTTCATGAAAACCTTTTTTGTAGAGAATTTTACAAGCTACAAAAAAGGTCCTTTTCAAAAATGTCCTATCTCCTTTAGATGACGAGATTTTCCCACTGTTTCATTTTGCCCCGTGTTTCATTTTGCCCCATGCTCCCCTAATAGAAGGGGCAAAAAGAGGAAATATTTGAAAGTTTCGATCCTACTTTATTGTTCTATTCAATTTTCTCTCTCAGATGAAAAAAATTTTTTTTAATACTTGTGATTTTGGATAAACACCGTTAATGGGGAAGAAATTACCTGGAACATTCCATCGATTAGTTCAGTTACGTGATCGTCTGAGAGTGAGGTAGTCCTCGCTATTTCCACTAATGAGCGCAGCATTTCTGAGAGCTCCTCTTTATCAATAACTCCGTTGCTGTCTTTGTCGCACATGTCGAAGATAATTCGCAACTTATCCTCGGTTTTTCCTCGGGAAAATAGTAATACTGTGTCCAAAAATTCCTGAAAGAGGCATGATTACGATTTCTTTGGCGCCACGATTTAACTTATGTTTTCCGTTAAATTTTTCCCCGGAATTACGGGAAAAATAATGAAAAAAATCCATCTCCATTATTTCTCCTGAATTATAGAGATTCTTCACAGAAGACGGAGGTTCATGCAGCGTTCCACATATTGGGGTGTCACTGGATATTGCTGGATAGGATTTTGGAGTAGGTATGAGGGGACCCAGGATAATTCTCAATATTAATTGACAAGACAAATTTACTGAAAAAATGCCAAAGTCCAGACTGAGATTTGAACCCGAGATCTTCCGATTATGATCAGGTGCTCTCCCCACTTGAGGTAAGGTCACAAGGGTCACAAAAAAGGACTCGCTAGGGTCACGAGGGTCACAAAGGTGACACTGCCTTGGTTGAATGCGTTTTTGACTGAATATTCTTTTGTTGCAGATTTTGTTGACTGAATGTTTGCGACTGTTGTTGCAATTTTTCAGAAAAAAAAAATCAAAAAAATCTCCAACAAAAAAATTTCCATTAAAATTGAGTTTTGTTGTTTCGATGTTGTAAATATAATCATTGAATTCAAATATGGGAATGTGAGTGCATGAATTATGTCAAGTACCTATACGAAGCTTTACGGAAATGTTCGTAAATGTTAAATCCCAAAAACAAATTGAGAGGGAATTTTCCCTTCATTTTTCTCGTATTCCTGAGGAAAAATGGTACGAAAAAATCAATTTATCTCCCTCATTTTTCGTCGGGGAGACCCACCTGAAACGATATCCTCCCATCTCCATCCTTATCAACAATATTAAACATCTTCTTAACGAAGACGGCGTCGGGCCGCATGCCCAAAGCACTCGCAAATTCGCTCTTCGACAAAGAAGTCCTCATGACAGTGACGACTTCACCCCCGTCGCTCTCCTCGGATCGCCTCCGCCTCCTCTCCCCCGGCCTCAGTCCGAACGTGAGAGCATAAGCCTCTCGGAAGAATTGCTCCAATTTTTTCTGCCTTCTCTCCTTAGTTTCCGCCTTAGCAATCATAATGTCACGATTTGTCTGCACAATCGACAAATGCTTCTTGTGAGAAGTGAGAAACGTCTCCAATTTAGCGATAAACTTGGCACGAGAGCTGAGCGAATCTAGCTCAAGGACGAGATCGTAATCGCGTGGAATTCTGAGGAGAATCAGTGCCTTCCCATTATCACCCCCCTGTGACTCCTCAACACCGACAACATTGACCCCCCCAAAATCAAAAGTCCTCAAGTTTTCCCCCTTCCTATCGACAATGTGAAGTGCGGCCTCCGGGCCAAATTTCACTTTGACCAAACGCTTGTGATTAGCGTGCAGCCACTCTCTGACAATCATCTTGTCGACGGATATTCTTCCGTGTACATTTGCCGACGTAACATTGCCAGCGCCACTTCGCTTTTTAATCGCCTCCTGAACGATTTTCAAACGTCGTCTGCGGCGATTCTGCAGCTTGACGAGGCCATATCCGGCTCCCGCGCATAAAATCGGTATGAAACCTAGGCAGACACAGGCGTAAATGTAAGCCAGCTCGCTTCCCTGAAATGAAAAAAAATTCTCCGCTGCATTCATTACCATTTTTATGAACGCATGAGTGACAATAGAATGTCCTTAAACGTACGGAAAATTTGCATTAAAAAATGGGGCGCGAGCCACAATGAATTATCATTTCCGAAATTCGTATAACGGGTTTCGAGTATTCTGTATCGTTACGTCCGAGATAAACATCAAGCTAGTGATGCCGCGAGATGAGACAAACTATATCTTCTTGCCTTGTCTCGTATCGAAATACGAGAGCAATTTCTTCTGTCGTCTCGTCGAGAATTGAGAGATTCTCTCGTTTCGTCTCGTCTCGTATCGAAATACGAGAGCAATTTCTTCTGTCGTCTCGTCGAGAATTGAGAGATTCTCTCGTTTCGTCTCGTCTCGTATCGAAATACGAGAGCAATTTCTTCTGTCGTCTCGTCGAGAATTGAGAGATTCTCTCGTTTCGTCTCGTCTCGTCTCTATAATCCAATTTGCACGGAAAAAAAGCAGAAGGACAGAGAGGGGAGGCTCTCTCGACTCTTGTCTCGCCTCTCGTTGTCGACCGGCTTTTCTCGTTTCGCCTCATTTCTGTCATTCTCTCGAATAACTCTTCTCGTCTCGTCTGATCATGTCGCTCGTCCCGTTTGTCTCGTCTCATTTTTGTCATTGTCTCGAATAACTCTTTTTGTCTCGTCTCGTCATGCCTCTCGCCTTGTTTGTCTCGTCTCGTCTCATTTCTGTCATTGTCTCGAATAACTCGTCTCGTCTCGTCATGTCTTTCGTCTCATTTGTCTCGTCTCATTTCTGTCATTGTCTCGAATAACTCGTCTCGTCTCGTCATGTCTTTCCTCTCATTTGTCTCGTCTCATTTCTGTCATTGTCTCGAATAACTCGTCTCGTCTCGTCATGTCTTTCGTCTCATTTGTCTCGTCTCATTTCTGTCATTGTCTCGAATAACTCGTCTCGTCTCGTCATGTCTTTCCTCTCATTTGTCTCGTCTCATTTCTGTCATTGTCTCGAATAACTCGTCTCGTCTCGTCATGTCTTTCGTCTCATTTGTCTCGTCTCATTTCTGTCATTGTCTCGAATAACTCGTCTCGTCTCGTCATGTCTTTCCTCTCATTTGTCTCGTCTCATTTCTGTCATTGTCTCGAATAACTCGTCTCGTCTCGTCATGTCTTTCGTCTCATTTGTCTCGTCTCATTTCTGTCATTGTCTCGAATAACTCGTCTCGTCTCGTCATGTCTTTCCTCTCATTTGTCTCGTCTCATTTCTGTCATTGTCTCGAATAACTCGTCTCGTCTCGTCATGTCTTTCGTCTCATTTGTCTCGTCTCCTCTCATTTCAGTCATTGTCTCGAATAACTCGTCAAGTTTTCATCTCGCTACCCGCACTTAACTGTCCCAAAAAAATAGCAAATTCGCTAGGAAATTTTATTGGAAAATTTCCAATAGAACTTCAATAGAAATCCAATAGAATGTGTCACCTCGAAATAGTCGTATCTCCTGAGAGGAACGCAAGGGTCCAGCATCTCCCCAGTGAGCTGGTCAGGCTGGGGGCAGGGATCCCCCTCCCTCCAAACGAAGACATTCCTCTGAATCCCAGCCTCGCTTATATTCGTGGAGTTCACGATGACGTCCCACAGTCTCACCCTCTTAATCTCCTCTATCTCGCTCTTCGTGAAGATCCCGTTGTCGGCGTTTTCGAACCAGAAGCGGTCCGAGTCCCTCAGTCTCAGGAATTGCTCTCTGATGACGGCTGAGAATAATTCCCCGGGTCCGTCCGTGGACTCTAGCATTCCCCCGACGTAAACGTCTATGTTGTCCAGATTATTAGAGTGAATCTCCATGAGATTTCTCAGCAACTCTGGGTTCTTGTTGAAGAGTTCGGGATTGATTTCGTTCCAAGAGGTCCGTCTGGGCAATTTGAAGTGAACCCTCGCGGTGTTGTAGTCCGGAAGGCCGTTGTCCCGTCCCCTCATGATGTTGAGGGCCCCCAGGTCCCGTCTGGAGAACTCCAGAGGGCCGAACAAATTATTCCTGATGTCGTTGCTCAGCAGATTGTCCTCTCTCTCTGCCAGCTGCGACCCCATCCCCATCATCAACTCCTCAACCGTGGAATTGGATAGAACTTGATTGGAGTTCCACCAAGTGGTGCACAAGCGAATGGCGGGTTTGCTGCTCCGAGTTGGCCTGAAGTTGCAGTTCTCGTCCCTCCGGTAGATCCCGGGGGGGATCATCGTGTGGCCAAACCGAAAGGCCGCACTCTGGAACATGTGGGAAATGCCTGGGTGCAGGTCTGGCTTGTAGCCAGTGTACTCCGGCAGCTGCTCCCCCAGGAGTTCTGGGAGGTACTCGTACATTATTATGTTCTGAATCGTTCCCACAACGATTCTTCTCGCTCTCTGGAAGACTTCCTCGTCCGACATTTCTGGGTTCTGAGCTTTAACTCTCGATGCCATCACGTTGTGCCAGCGGTAGAAAATTATCCCGAAGGCTAGGAGGGCTGGATGCTGGTTGGATCGAGGATCGCCCAGAACTGAAAACAGTGGGAGTTAGTTATTGAGGAGGTCACAGGTGTTGAATACAAGAACAAGCGGGGGCTCATGCGACTTCTACGGGAAGATATATTCAAGCTTTTAATTAAATAGATTTATACAACAGGTTATATATCTCCGAAACTGCTCGGCCGATTGCGCCTATCCAACATACGAATCTTCAATATTGTAAGAGCTATAATCACAACAAATTTCAACTTGCTATTTTCATTTTTTCTCAAAATATCGGGCGTGCAAGAATGGAAAAATTTGAAAAACGAAAAACGGGAATGTCTCTGAATCTTTGTATGGACGGGTGTACATATTTTGATTGATCTAGATAGTGGCCACCGAGACAAGTATTTTGCAAAAAAAAAATTGAAATCTGTACAGTAGTTTATCAGATATTTGAAGAAATATATTTACACAAAAGGTTGAATATCTCAAGAACCGCTCGGTCGATGGGGCTCATCCACAATACCAACCTTTTATGTTATAAAAGCTAGAAGCATACCAAATTTCAACTCGCTATCTCCATTTTTTATCAAGTTATCGTGTAAACAAGATTTTTCATGAAAAAACGGAAAAACGACGATATCTTCAAATTTTGTCTGAACGGGTATATATATTTCGATTGATCTAGATAGAGGCCATCGAGACGAGTATTTTGAAATAAAAAAAAATGAAATCGGTGGAGCAGATTTTGAGGTATTGAGGAAAAACGAAATATAAAGAAGTTGTTATATCTCAGGAACTACTGGACCGATCGGGCTGAAACTNGAAAAACGACGATATCTTCAAATTTTGTCTGAACGGGTATATATATTTCGATTGATCTAGATAGAGGCCATCGAGACGAGTATTTTGAAATAAAAAAAAATGAAATCGGTGGAGCAGATTTTGAGGTATTGAGGAAAAACGAAATATAAAGAAGTTGTTATATCTCAGGAACTACTGGACCGATCGGGCTGAAACTGCGCACCAAAGTGAAGCTTAATCATAGCTACCATGAGCCTAAATTCCCGACTTTCATCGACAAATTTCCCCGTATTAATGTTGAATTTTCTAAAAATTGATCACCAAAAACTCAAGTTGTCAAACACATACACATAGACATGACCCTAAAAACATCATTTCTTCACGTTTCATAACATTCTAGACCATTTGCCATCAAAATAGGAAAATCGAGAAATCGCTCAAATACAAGGCTTCCACCCGGAAGCCAAAAAACGGTTTTCGGCGTTGAATTCACGAAATTAGCGGTCATTAACGTACGAAAAAGTCTCTCAGGACTCAGCATAGTCCTCATAACGCTGGGCACGGCATGATTAAAGAGCGGAGCCCTCATGGTATTCCTGACTGGAAACTGCCTGATCGGTTCGATGAGAAAGCTCCCGTCTACGAAGGACCTCATGGTGTTCGCCCAGGCCTCGCTGCTGGAGTAAACGAAGCTCCCATCGATCCAACTGGTCACCTTGTTCAGCTGTTCCCGAGGGCTATTGGGACTGTGGCCAGTCTTCCTGTCGTAATCAGCCCGCAAGAACGGGATGTACTTGCTCCCCTGGCAGTCTCTATCGAACATTCTATCGCATTTCTCTACGTCTATTCGATGAAGCTCCAGGGGACATCCACTCTCACTCGCCATCACTATTTCAGCGGTTACAAGTTGCCCTGAAATTCAGATTCATCATTTTTTATTTAAATGTCAATTGATTTTGGTAAAATCCGGGGTAAAATTATGGGACGAGAATGGTTAATTACCGAAAAAGGCGAATAGAGCTGTTTTGTTCTTTACAGAGGCAATTCCATCGGCCCCTCGCATGAACAAATCACTCAATTTCCTCGGGGATGCCCTGTCCTGCCCCGCCATCATGTAAACCCCGTCTGAATAAGCAGCGGGCACTTTTCGAATCAACCTGCTTTCTACACAAAATAACATCATATCAAAAATGAAATAGAGACAAACGAAAATTCAAAACTCATAGAAAAAACTTGAAAATTCTATCGAATTCCGCAGTAGAATCTGTCTGTATAATAATTTTGTTAATTAAGACAACGCAAAAATTTTCAGGGTTCACAAGGGTCATAGGGTCTCAAAGGTCACGAGGGTCAAAAATGATCGTAAGGGTTCCAAGGGTCACAAGGGATGAAAATAAGGGTCGCGAGGGTCATGAGGGTCACACAATACAGGCCACGAGGGTCATCAGGATCGTGACGGTCATAGGGGTCACAAGGGTCAAAGAAGTTCATAGGGGTCATATGGGGGTTATATGGAGCCGAATCTATTGAGAATGACTACCACTGATATCAGTTATCCAACACCTGGCAAAATTCAGTGCCTCAAAGCATTGAAAAAATAGTTATTATGTCACTATTCAACGATGTGATAAAGACTGGGTATTTCCGATCCTTATTTGAACTCAGGGAGATAGGGGGGAGCGAGCGAAGCGAGCGAGGGGGCGGAGCCCGCCGGCGGTTGGCGAGCGAAGCGAGCGGGGGGCGGAGCCCCCTAGCAACAGAATAAATTTAGATTTTCCTACACAATTTGAATTCAATTCAAATAAATCAAATTTGAATTGAATTGAATTTGAATTCAATTCAATACGCATTCAATTTAGATTTTTCTAGAAACAGCCCAACACTAACAGAAAGTTCAATAGAATTTTCTAGCGAATTCCCTGAGTCTCTTCGATTTTTTATGTACCAACAGATCCCCAATCCGGATGCGCCAGATTATTGTACCACCCGTCGTACCTCTGCTTGTCGGTATATCTCCCATAGGCATCTGCAAAAAAAATTAATTATGCACCTACAAAATTTACCCCATCAATATTAATGAGCTCTGGGGGTAGAGTAATCTTGATTCAGCCGTCGGTGATTCACCGGAGCATTGATTTTAAAGTGCCGAGATAATTATCAAGCTGTCATGTTTAAATCATCCTATCCCGTGTCCTTGCAATTTCACTCACGTGAGTAATGTAATCCCTTGACCATTACCCAATAATCATTACTCCTGACAAAGAAATTGAAAAACTCTTTTTCCCGCACGAGTGATGGACTTTTTTTTTTCATTCCTGGGGAAACTCGTATGTGACACGCGTAGCTTTCACTCTCACGTGAGCCGCGAGCAAACGGGAAACCCCAGGCCCTTTCGACGGGCCAGAATTCCCCGCCGAATGTCTCCCTTAATGATTTTATAATTAATTGAACACTCACCACTGGCCCTGGGGAACACGAAGGCGACGAAAAAGCACAGGGCAGCACTGAAAAACCGCCTTCCGAGCAGTTTCCACATTTTACTTTACTTCGATCTTCCGCAGTTTAAAATTTAAAAAAAAATAGCCCTAAATTTTGGGATTTCAATCCTTCACTCGTCGCCCACAGCTCCGGGTAAACTCCAGAATCCTCATCATTCATTTAAAAAATGATAGATAATCCCCGAGTGAGGGAGTCTCTCTCACCAGGGAGAGTGAAAAAAAACGTTTTGACACGTTCACCAAAGCCCGACTACTCCTCGTGTGTTAAAAGTGAATAAAGTCTCCTTTGGATGTACCCCACTTCCAAGAGGAACGTCAGTGAGGTCCGTGAGGCGGTAACAAAACCGTGTAGTTGCGGGTTGGTGGGCCAAGAGCACAGCGATTCCGCCAACCTGTGAGGTGAAAGTCGTCGGCCTATTTTGCCTCGTCTCTCTTCCACCCGCGCCGTAAAATCGCCTCTCCTTCTTCAAACTTTTGCCTGGTTACTCGAGAGAACTCTCTTGGGCTCACCTCTACCTGCGTAATCGCGCGCTGCCCCTCTTCAATTGAATTTTCTGCTCGTCTCCAATCCCTCGTCATCATCATTAATTAATAAATTCATGAAAAAAAAAAACCCAGAAGATTTTGGGATAGGGGAAATAATGGAAAATTTGAATTTCATCATTTTATTTTCATCGCAACGACCTGGAAAAAACGAGATCAAGGGTGATCTTAATTACCTCAGCAAGGTCACTCTTAACATTGTAAATCATCTTATGTTTATCTCTTTTTCTTCTTTATTTTAAATAATTAAACATGAGGTATTGCAATTAGACGTGGGGCTGGGAGCGCTCGTTAGCAGTACAAAGGAAATTAAACATGAAAATTCAATTTTGCGGGAGTTGAAGTGTCCGGGAGACTGTCTGGAGTATTTTTTATATTTTTATTGACGTTAAATTTTTTCAGTCCTGGGTCACGCCAAGAGTTGTTGAGGATTGAATTCTTCACCAGAATTTTAATTCTTTAAAATGAAGGTATATCCATATGAAATTAATTGAAATTAGGGGAGGCCGGGGTAAAACGGACACTTTTGACTTTTTTAAAATGTCAATGAGGGGTTGAAATGTTGATAAACTTATTAATTTTTTTTCAATACAAAGAACAATTATTTCCCTTTGCGATGAGCCTGAACTGAGCTCAATTGATCAAAAAGTCAAGTGTCCGTTTTACCCCACCCTCCCCTAAATAAATAAATTAGTTAAAAATTTAACTAGTATTTTCGTGGAAAATATTGATTTCGTATTTCATGTGCTAATCCTCAAGGCTACCGGATGTCGACGCTAGACGTCTGGTGAGGCCCCCTCACAATGGATTGAATTCTCCTAGTTTTTTCAATTTTTTCGGATTCATTAAGTCATCTTCGCCGAACGTCAGGAGGATCGCCGCTCTGACCGCTAGGACTTCGTGGACCCAGGGTAATAGTAAACGAGTGCTGGGGCGGGCAGTTGCCAGTGCGCCGCGTGCAGCTCAATTATTTGCAGTAGAACTTTCCTCACAGCTGGTAGAGTCGAATTTTCAGCGAGAAATGCGTCTCGAACGCATGCCAACAGCTGCTCTAGTTGAATTGGCAGTTCGTTATCCAAATCCTTGCCAATGCACGTCAGAATGAAAAACAAGCAGTTCGTCTGGGGGAATGAAAGAGCTCTTAATTGCTATATTGGTTTTGCTATTTGGTTTTAATTCAACAGCGAAATGGTAAAACGGTTTAAGTCGACTCATCTCAAAGTTAATTTTTGGGAAATATTTCCGAATCTAAGGGAGATAGCGAAATTTTTGGAATAACGTTTTTTGTAGAGCGCGTTGAGAGCTGCAAAAAAGGTTCACACAAAAATTTTGCTATCTGGCTTAGGTTCCGAGATATTCATGGAAAACTGGCCAGCAGTAAAAATCGACTTGAACTGTTTTACCGCTTCGCTGCTGGAATTATTATTACCTCTGGGAGAGAGTTGATGAATGACGGCTGGAGGCAGTCCTGACAGGACTTCCACAGGAGCGTCAGGAGGACGCGACCCGGGGGAACTCCCTCCTGTTGCGTTTTGAGTTGCAATTGACGCCTTTTCAGCTGTCAAAATTAATTCGATCGATCATCTCATTGTTTTTACGTACGAACAATCAATTCCCTCGGAGCGAGGGTAATTAATTAATTCATAGATAGAATCAATACCTGACAGTACATCTCATTGAGGAATGTCATGAATGCCGCAAATTTGTGGCACGACGAGACGTCGTCAATTGATCTGCTCTGGTCCTGATACCACTGCTGGCACATATTCAGGAGAGACTCCAAAAAAGTCTCTTTCACTTCTTTCTGGAATAGCCAAAGTAACCATTTCCACACGGAAAAATTTATATTTTGAAAAATATAGGGGAGCATGGGGCAAAATGAAACACGGGGCAAAATGAAACAGTGGGAAAATCTCGTCATCTAAAGGAGATAGGACATTTTTGAAGAGGACCTTTTTTGTAGCTTGTAAAATTCTCTACAAAAAAGGTTTTCATGAAAATCGTCCTATCTTCCTTAGATCACAAGATTTTCTTGCTGTTTCACTTTGCCCCGTGTTTTATTTTGCCCCACCGTCCCCTATAAAACATCTTAAATTGGCCCAATTTATATAAAAAAAATATAAACAATTGGCCCATATTATGTATTTTTTTACGTGGATACGTCTATGTTTTCATTATGGAGGGGGGGCATTCAGGGAAAAGTCCTTATGGTTCCTTATCGATAGTGGCGCCATCTATCGGAATTCTAGAACATTCTAGATTTTTCTAGCAAATTCCAGATTTTTCTAGAAAATTCTCCAATTTTTTTTCTCGAAATAAATTGACATTGTAATTTATAGACAAATAAAATAAATTATTTTATTTGTCTATAAATGTCTAAAAAATCCATAAATAAATAATAAATCTATAAATAAATAAATAAATTGACATTGTCATTTTCTAGAATTAAATTACAATTGTGAATGAAATATATGAAATATTTATGGGGGTCGGTACAATTATAATATTCAAGTACAATTACAAAATGAATTACGAAGCCTCGAGAATAAAAAAAATACTGAAAGATGAGGGAAACTTAGCGTCGTGAATTCCCAGTGGAAAGTGGATGAAAAAATCTGAAGGATTCTTGAAAAATTTGTTCATGATTTAGCAATTGAGGATAAACAATTTTAAGGACTGTTTAAAAATACGAGATGGAGGCACCCGCATTTCAGTATTTTTTCTTCATCCCGAAGCCGCTGAATTACATTAAATGAATAACATTATCAGTCGTCGAGAGTCATTTTGAGAAATTCATAATTCCTTATTCAACGATCATCAATCAACAATTTCAATTGTTCATCATATGAATTATCATCTGCCAATGAAGACTAGCAACCCTCAATTATTTGTGAAATTTCATCCGGAAATACTAATAAAACGATTACTACCGATCTCGGAAAACAACTCGTAATGAATATTCATGAGCGGCCTAACTCCATTGTATTTATACCTCTATAATTTTTATGCAGACTTTAGCCGCGGGCTCGGCATAGCGTTTGTTTTCGACGATTCTCCCAAGAATGTGTCTGACCAGATCCATTAATGCTCTCGAGTTCAGAGTATTCGGATCTGTAACACGCAGAAGGAATTAATTATCCAAGTTTCATCACTGGAGAATGTTGAGGTACCTTCAATGGCCTTGATTAAAACATCCTGAACCGGAACCGGAAACTTCCCCAGCTCGGCTGCATCGAGGATGTTGTTGGCTTTGTAAGCAAGGGCATCGGAATTATTAAAGCTCTTTGAACGCTTCAGACCGTAAGACGATACGAACGACAAAGACTTTGTTAATTTTCCCGGTTTCATTGGATTTACGGTGGGCTTTGCGTCGTTTGAATTCACAACGTTGAAGTGAACTCGACTGTTCTGGCCTCCAGACTAAAAAACAATATTCCTCCATGTACCGAAAACTTTTACTATTAAACATTTTTATTAAAATACTGGGGGGGCTCCGCCCCCTTGCTCGCTTCGCTCGCCAACACGGGGGAGGGGACTTTGCCCCCCC